TATATAACATTCTAATTAATACAGCAGGAGTATCACAGCTCAAAAAGAAATGATGGCGAGCACCGAGTACCCTACCTCAAATGCGGAAGGCCCCTGATCCAGAAAGCTTAATTTGGAATCTTCAATTTCAGCAGGCTGCCAAAGCATGGTGGGACTACATGTCTACACTAGGAATCTTTTCCTGGGCTGGGGCAGCCCTGCACCACATCCTCTCGTGATGACTGGCAACAAGCCTCGGCTTCTGGCCACGGAATCGCAAGGGGAAGGGAGGGCTGATACTCTACCATGTACCAGGCTGCTCAGTGGGCTCGGCATGGAAAGGCGCAGGATTTCTAGTCCCAGCTATATTCTTAGTTTGAATTTGTTGTTTTATTCTGGCTTATTGTTATCAAGAGCATGAGAAGATAAGCCCGAAACTGGGCAAAAATAGCTACAAGATACATCACAACTGATAAAAAGGACTGTTACACAAACTGCACAATCAACTGTTAACTAAACGAGAGAGAAAAACTTGATTTTAAAAACCCAATTCTAGACAGTTCACCAAAGACAACACACAGAGGGCAACAAGCACATGAACAATAGTCCCACAGTGAAATTACCAGTGCAAACAACAGCGAGAGGCCACGACACACCTAGTAAGAACGACTGAAACCCAAAGGCGACCAACTTCAAATGCCAGCAGAGTGTGGACCAGCACACGGTACTATTTATTGCTGCTAGGAACACAAAACGGTAGTCACTTCTGAAGACAGCCTCGCAGTTTCTTATAAACCTACACACACTTTTACCGTACTCCTTGACATTTACTCCAATGAACTGAAAACTTACGTCCATAGAACACTTGTGTACAGATATAGATGCTTTGTTCATAAAAATCTCAATTTAAAGCAATCAAACTGTCCTTCAGTATGTGAGTAGGTGAACTGTGGTACCACGCAGTCAATGGGCTCTTACTGTTTAAAAAGAATTGAGCTAAGACAAGACACAGCAAAAACTTCAATGCAAAACTGAAGATAAATAGAAAGTGGAAAGTTCAAATATTACCCTAAATTACCTACTATGTTGATTCAAAAATATTTTACTACAGAAGTTTATTTGCCCTGTTTATATTATTAGTTCACCTTACAAAGTTTTGTGCTATTATCTTTTTCTTTCTTGGGAAAATCTTCTTGGTCTGTCTACTCTACTTGGAAGATGATAATAATGTATTAACTATTTTTATTCTCTTATTATTTCATTACGATTTTTTTAAATTTAAAAATGCCTATCGCCAAGCCAAAGAACCCAACCTGGCAGGGCACGTGGTTCTAACTATTTCACAGTTGACAAATGGCAGAACTAAGGAGACAGTACAACACGGGGAGATGACAAGGGTCCCCGAGAGGAAGGAAGAGAAGTGAGGCAGAGAATTTTAGAGCAGCAAAACCATATGATATAAGGCGGCATACAGCATGACTCAGTTGTTAAAACACACAGAATGCTTCGGGAGAGATCCTAGTCAGAAGCCCACTGGTATAATAAACTGCCTCCTGAACCTCAAAAATAAAGTAAAATAAAACAAAACAAAATAAAATACACAGACTGTACAATGCCAAGTTGCTGTAGGTTCAACCAGTGGAAACAAATGTACCACTGTGGTGCCAGGCACCGAAGAGGAAGGAAACGTACTTATGTGACAATGGTTCGGCTTTGCTGTAAACATAAAATTGCTCTAAAAACTAACATTGACTCAAACAAAAAACGTTCAGGAGCAATTAATAACAAAGACTCTGGGCATATAAATACTCTTATTAGTGAAAGTATTTCATTTTTTTGAAACCTCAAAAACCAAGATAACATTTGAATTGTCCTTCTTTATTTTTCAATATGCAAGATAAAGGCTATGTGTGACTTATCTCCTGTCTATATTAAAATATACAGATAAGAACGTTGTAGGCACTGTAGCACCAGGTAGAAATCAACATCAACAGGTAAAAATTCAATGCAATTTAATTTGCAGACTGAGATACGGGCAATGTCTGCCCACTTTGCCATGAGGACAACTTTGCAAATTTGGATCTCATAACGTGTTTACCTTTGTGTCATAATTTTGAAGGCATCTGGGAGGTAGCAGTCTGTATTCTCCATCTGAAAGGGGTCAGCATCACAGATCTTGTCATCTGTCCGCCCGTAGTTAGCACTCTCAATCATGATGACGTCACTGCCCGGACATCGCAGATCAATAGAGTAACCTTCACAGGATAATTCTCGTCTGACTAACCCAAACGGCAAAGCTGCTCTGCTGAAACCTGAAAGCAAAAGGGAAGAAAACGCAACTTTAACTCATTTACAACAAGTTGTTTTAATGAAGCTATGCTAATACGGCTCATGCGTAAAGTGTCACGTATACACATATTTGTTCTTGCCTATATCAGAAATCTATTACTATTCCTATAGATCTTGACTTGGCCTCAACATTTTTTAAAGATCTTTTGAAGTCATGCTATCAAAACCTTTTCTACATAATCTAGCATAAACACAAACTAAATGGTTCTGTCTAAGCAAAAATGATGAATTTAATCAACTTTATAAATAGTGCCTGGTTTTACTACAAATACTGAATATAAATCCTCATCCAGAACAATTTTTGTTAATGTCATGGAATAAAAGTTCTGCCACACACTGACCCTACTTTGTTATTTAACACACATAGCTGATACACACTGTTACTCTAAATATACTCTTAATGTCCCCCCCATAGAATTCTTATGATAGTGAAGTACTTACGTCACACTTTTTCAAATTCTAAACACCAAAACTGGCATCACTGAAAGGATTTAGCAGACACATATTTAAAGATGGCACGACTACACCCCACTCTATCTCAATCCTGCCCAACAAGTTAGAAGATCTAAGAGAAATAAAATTCATCCAGGCTTTAGGTGTGTGATGCACAACACGGCTATCCAGCATCTGCGACCTGACTTTTAACACCTGCGTGGTTCCCAAGGAAACAATGAGCGTAAAGCCCATGCTGGATGGATTTATATATGGTACATCAGGTTGTGGACAACCACCGTGTGTATATGATGCAAAAGATTCTTGAAAGGAAGAAAAAAGAGTAGAACAGGAAGTTGTAATCCCAAGAGACCCAGGGACTAGGATTGAGGCACAAGACGACAGCAAAAGCCAAATCGCCAAACGCAGCAAAGAGGTCTGTATGATGGATACCTGTGCCAAGCTAGCCATGTGCTGCCGCAAGCCTCCGGCACTGCCTGACTGCTTCAGGTCAGTTCTTCGGCTTGTCACTATCTACTGAACTCCTATGACACAAGGTATGCTTTAGTTTTATTTCTAGTGTTTTAATTACTCTGCACCATATGACTTGTCTTATATATTCTTATATAGGATACAGAAAAGCTGACACTCAGAATTGGGAGGGAAAAAACCAGCCGTACAAGATACAAATTTCCACTTTACACTGGGTTGTATCCAGGTCAAGGTAATTCGAAAGCCACTCTCGGGATTCTTAATACACCACTCCTTTCACTAATTCAGTGAAATACAGTCAGCTGGACAAAAATGCATCTGCTTTCTAATATATGAATGAAATTCCAGATGGGTTATTAGGTCACACAATGGTATGATTTAAAGTATCATTACTCTCCAACTTAGCAAGTCCTCAGTTCCACTGGAAAAGATGGAATTGAAAAAAAAAAAAAAAAAAAGCCGGAGAAATGGCTCAGTGGAATAAGTGCTTCCCTGGCAAGGGCAAGGGCCTGAGTTCAATCCCAAAAAAAAAAAAAAAAAAAAAAAGATGGAATTGGGCTGAAAGAGGAAAGGAAAAAAAAACAAAGTCATTTAAAACACAAGCATAGTAGTCAGGGAATAATGGTGAACGCAAACTTGGTTGAGTTCTACTAAAGAAGTTTATGGTCTGAGTACAGCATTAAACATACGTAGAAAGGTACAGTATTGGTGAAGAGGAAACACAGACACACACAGGCTAAATAGCAAAGAAGCCAAACTAACAACGAAATCTCCCCAAACGGGCTTTATGTTTACATTTACACACCTATGAAATATATAATGTATATTCAAATAGATAATACACACATTCATATATGCATTTGTCATGTACTGTATAAATAATTCAGTTTGTATTAATATTATTAGGGCTGGCCAGACGGCTCAGCCGATTAAAGCATATGCTTAGGTAGAGCCCAGTGGGCAGGGTTCAATCCCTGGCATGCCATGCCAGGGATTAGGGCTGGCCAGACGGCTCAGCCGATTAAAGCATATGCTTAGGTAGAGCCCAGTGGGCAGGGTTCAATCCCTGGCATGCCATGCCAGCCCTGCCCACAGGGCGTGCTGAAACTGAGAACGAGACTGGTGTGGTGGTGCATGCCTGTAATCCAAGATCTTAGGAGGCTGAAAACAGGATAATCACTATGAGTTCGATCTACGTAGTGAGATACTGTAGACTCTGTGCTAAATAAATATAAAAAAAAATTAATTAGTATTTTATTTGCTGTAATGAAAAACACTATACAGCTTCAGAACTTCAACTGTATATGGCAAAAACAATGTGGAAATTCCTACATGTTTCCTCAAAAGTAATTTCAGAGCACAATCTATTGAGAAATGATTTCTAATTGTTCCACAATAAAATAGAATAAATTATATTATTAAAAATGTTCGGACTATTAGAAGAGCCCATTAGAGGACTAGCTTGGAGCCATAATTCACAATTATTGCCATTATATCAAAATCCTAATTATGAACCTGTGTAATTTTTAAACTGAATCTTCTAATTGTTGTGCTTATTATTAATTGGCAGTATTAGACTTACGACTGAATGAATTTTACTCAAGCGCTGGGAATGGGGATCAATCCCCCGCACCACATGCTGCACTGGCCGCGCCCCCAGGCATGCTGAGCTGGCTACCGAGACCAGGCGTGGGCATGGTGGTGCACACCTGTAATTCTAGCCACTGGGGAGGCTGAGACAGGAGGATCACTACGAGGCCCAGCTGCACAGTGAGACCCTGTATCAAATAAATAAACAAATAACTTTTTTTTTTTAAAGTTACACAGCTGAGTGTCTTGCTGTTTTAACAATGCACAGGAGGCTTTTTAAAGCCTAAGTCATGGACATCAAAAACAAAAAAAGGAAAGTGACCGTCAAAATAACTCAGCAGCCCTAACAGAAGTCTACTGGCAAGGGACAGCGTGGCACGTGTGCCTTCACTGCGAAGAACCTAAGATTTCTAACGATGAACACGGCTCACCTCACAGTACAGTGTCTACTGTTCCGCATCTTGTTCCGAACCCTTGCTCTTGTGCTCTGAGCTTCATGTCTTTATTAATAGGCTTTTTTTTTTTTTTTTTTTGGTGGAACCAGGGATTGAACTCAGGCCCTTGCGCTTGCCAGGGAAGCGCTTATTCCACTGAGCCATCTCCCCAGCCCCTAATAAGCTTACTTCTGCAACACGTTACTGTCCACATTCTTTTTCAGTACACATTACACAGCTAGCTGTGACAGTGAGGTCTCAGTCACCACACCAGCACCATTCTAATAAAGGGCGTGTAACCAAACTTACACTAAACAAGCATTATTTGTTTAGCATATTATAAACTGCAATGTGCTTTTCTCCGTAATATCCATTTCCTTTGAGAGTAAAAATTAAAATGGTCATTTTTTAAAAGGACAGAAGTTACTTGTAATAAATAAGTTAGTTATGTGCCATTCTCCAAGAATTAGTGTGTGTGTAAATCTGTGTATTTATAGTGTTTTATTTGTCACTGGGATTCATTGGTGTTTCTCAGAAGATAGCTAGCTAAGCTCTCATCTGTGAATGTTCACTGTTCTAAACTACTGTATTTACAACCAGAAAAAATATGAGAAGAGAAATAAAGTTAAATAATATTATAACAGATAATATTGCACAACTCGTTGCTGGTGAGGAGCTCGATGTTTACACAGATTTCTGGATTAACTATTTCAAAGTCTTAGTGGAAGGGGGGAACAAATGCAGGGCAGTTACAGAAAGGAAAAGCTTCCATGAACTTTTAAGAACAATGCAAGTAGCCGTGCTGTCCTCGGACACCTCACACTACTCTGCAAACCTAAGCGAATGGTTAGCCCCCCCATCCCACCACTCAGGGGCCCAGCCAGAAGAATCTCAAGTTGGAGGCCAGACCGGGCATCTCAGCAAGATCCCTTCTCAAAATAAAATTTAAAGGGGTACAAGGGAAAAACTGGGGTGTAGCCCAATGGCAATGCGCCTGCATAGCAAGGGTTCAATCTCTAGCACCACATTTTAAAAACAAACAAACAAACAAAAAGGTTTGGAAACGTGATTCAGTCTTTACAAAGTAAAACAGTGAGACATACACCTTACTCCTAAAAGTATGTATTTACTACTTCATTGGTATCGTACTAATAACCTGCCATGCTGAGTCATGGAAAAAAGCTGTAACACATAAAGTCATTTTTAAAACTTTCTTCCTTATCTAACACGAGCTACTTTAGAGTACATATTATTCAAAACTCACTGTTAAGTCTGCATTGTTGATCACCAATCCTGACTGTGTCAGTCACCAGCTAAAGCTTTTAAGGGTGACACATGTGCAGGCCGTATTCCAACCTATTGACTCTGAATCCGCTCTTGGATGAAGCCGGGCTGGTGAGGAAAACCTTACGCACTTGCACTGCGCTGAGCCGAGAACTTAAGGCGAGCCAAGAATTTCTCTGAGGTCTTTTAAAATCAGTTTTCATTTCTCTATTGAGATTACATATTTGTTAAGTCACTGTCATCATATTTCCTCTTAATTCTCTAATATAGTTTTACTTTAATCTATCAACATTTTTGTAATAGCTGCTTTTAAATGTTTGTCTGCTAGGTCTATCATCTGGACCCACAGCAGAAGTAATTTTATTGAGTACTTTTTCCTCCAGAGAATGGACCATCTTTCCTGTTTGCCTATCTCATAAAATGTCTGTAGTTGCTGGAAAGTGCATTTTTTAAAATAACATACTCTTAGCAGCTCTGGATTCAGATTTCTTCCCCCAGAGAATTCTAGACATTGGTACTATGATAAATAGTGTCTTAGTGAATCTACAGAAAATCTGTATTTTCCAAGGGGTGTAGTTACCTACGGGCCCGCTCATGGTTTTGTTTCATTTCTTAAAACAAAGAAGATAACCTAGGCACCTAGAGGTCATCACCGTCCGTGTAACTCTGTGGTCAGCCAAGGAGCCGGCACCCACTGCACCCAGCACCCACTGCACCCAGCACCCACTGCA